TCCATTCGTTCACTGAAATCATCAAAAGCTTTTGACAATTTTATTCTATGAAAATAAACAAAATATCACGTGTTAATTACTTTATTCACTTATTAGAAACTGTGGCTGTCCTTGCACTAAATTTGTAGAATTAAAAAAAATATATAAATCCATACTAATATTATAAATGTGAAAGTGTGTTTGTTTGTTTGTTTGTTTGTTTGTTTGTTTGTTTGTTTGTTTGTCATTCTTTCACGTCAGATCAAGGAAATTAAAAAAAAAAACGTACTTAGGCGTAAAAGGCGACTTGATCGAGAATTTTGCTTTAAAACAATAATCCGTTCAGCCGTTAGCAGCAAGCTTTCAGCTCATTTCTAGGAGAGCGTTTTTTAAATTTTTAATTTAATATCACGTTTTACTGTTTAAGATTCAAATTATTTCGATAGTAGGTGAACAAGGAATTGCAAGATATAATTACAAGTGAAATGAAATGAACACACACACAATAATATTATGAATGCGTAAATTTGTGTGTTTGTATGTTTGTTATATAATACCTATTATGCACTTAAGGACGCAGCCGAGTGGAGCGAGGGTAAGTAACTAGTTATAAAATACCAAAATGGTACAATATTTTTATTTTTATAGAAGGTTTATCCCAATTTCTGTACATATATACAGGAATATAGTGTACTTACTGTGTATACCAATAACAAATATTTATCATTATTATTATTTTTTTATTAAATTCATGTGATTTTTGTTTGTTTAAAAGGATCTCTAAATATATGCAACGGCATTCCATCATGTGGCAAGCTACAATAATGGCATCGGTTTTAATCTTCGGCCAGGGCAGGCTGACGCGACCGTCTTGTAGACTGTTCTCATTGCCGCACGTTATATTGTTACCTCTTAACGAGAACGAAATTGGAAATATTGAAAATATTGATTGAGATATATTGATATACACAATGACATTGCAGTTCTGCAAAAACAAACCACTAGATAGCGGCACTTTAACTACAAAATATTCAATTTTACATAGTTCTATGTTGTTTTTTTTACGATAACAAAGTAACGAAGTTCTATGTAAAAATTACTAAACTTCATTAAAATTAACATAGAACCTTATAATAGTAAGCCAACGAATTGTGTCACAGCAACGTTTTATTCAGAGTTTTCATAATATACAGATGGGAATTAAATTTTGAAACTTGAGATATTTTCTGTTAAACATTTTGCTAGTTTTGCAGTCGTAAAATTAGCTTTCTTTTATATTATATTTGAAAAAAATAACTATTTTGCAGTATACTCATTTATGCTTAAACAGCTGCACTATGTACACTACATACTCGTATACACAATACAGGTTATTATTTATATGTAATAAAATTTGCCTTAAATGTATATAAAATTTTAAATGCTGAACATCTGTTAATTTTAAGTTAGTAATACCCTAATAAATAACGTTAATATTGACGACACGTTTGACTCAATTTGTAGTGACTTGCTGTGCCAGCGGTCGCGGCTTCGAGTCCCGCTGGGGGCATTCATTTGCGCGATGAGCACGAATGTTTTTACTCTAACCATGGGTGTTTATATTTATAATATGTATGTATTTAAAGTTATATATGTGTAGTGTATCAACTATCTGGTATCCATAGCATAAACCTCGTAGCTTACCATGGAACTAGATAGCGCTGTGTGTTAATGTCCCAACATATTTATACTTATTTATTTTATATTTGATAGTAGGTATGGATCCAGTAGTGCACCAGTCAGTCTTACACTTGTCTAACATTCTTTTAAATGTTTACAATAATATTAATTATTATCTATATATAATACTTAGATTTAGGGGATTCTCTCCCGTGACCATGATAACTCTAAAGCATTCGAAACGTCGGGAACTAAAACCAAAATAAATCTGCGAAAAAATCCAAAAAGATAGTATTATTTAAAATATTACAGATAGTTTTTGTTTTCACCTGGTCAATACAACCATAAAATTTGCCAAGACATAATAGCTTTCTAAATTTGTATCAAATCCGTTAAAGAATGTTAAAGAAGTAACAAACACACTTACATACAAAAGAATTTAACCTATTTATGTGAGTAAAAAAACGACGTACAAATACAATGGAAACGAGACTCCTTATTCGGGAATAGTGTTGGGCGTTAGCCAAGATATCGAATATATCGATAGCAACTTACATAAGGAATCAATTAACAAGCTATTGGACGCAGTGTAACAGATTCGCGCATTATCATATCTATTTTGTCTTTGTGCTAGTTCCCTTTCTTCATACGAAAACCCAATAATAAACATATGAATACATTTGTTTATCTAAAATAAATGGCTTTAAAAATATCAGATAAATATATGTATATTCAAATTTTGAACTAGCATCATATCTTTACAGATCCTTTTACTATCTATGCATTTTAAAACCTGCCGCGATTTTTTTTCGGCCTGTACTCAAATCGTTGTTATAAATCTATAGCCTACCTACCGGAAGTAACAAAATGCCAATATTTAGTATCAAATAGCCTATTTTTATAAAAAAAAATTAATGAAATACGTATGCATATAGTTTTCAAGCTTTAAGAGCACAAAATAAAAAAGACAGAAAGAGGAACTTGTATAATATTTTTTTTTATTTAATAAAAAAAATCAAATAAATTTTCACTGCACTTATATTTTATTATATATAAAAAAAAGAATTAGTTATATCGTTGACAAAATGAGACTCTAGTAAATAGTCCCTGAATAGATTGAAGGTTATTATATATTATATTGTAATTTATCTTTTCTAAAAATTACAAAGTAATGTCTTTATGACACTATAACATTATTTTTAAAGTCAAAAACAAAGACATACAATCAATTAGCTATATTTTTACCGTGGTAAAAAAATCACATCCAAGCCATAATTTAGCTTATTGTGAACTAATTTTCATGATTGATGTAGATATCACGTAAGAAACAAAAAAATATATAATCGGTTTCAGTACCTCCTTCTTATTAGGCTTTAGGACTCATTATTATTAGCTGTAAAGTTGTTTTTAATAAATTATTGTCACTTTCATAAATTTTATAACCAATTAGTAATAAAAAAAAACTATTCAAGTACTTTTGTTCAGATTTGTTATAATTTTAATTTATATCAAATGTTTACGAGTATAATAAGTTTGATTGCAAATTTGATAACAGAGTGTTACTCTAATTCAATATGGTTGATGCGTGCAAAAAAGTTTTTTACCACATCAAATGTATGTTTTGATTCATCACATTGCTCTTATACTTAAAAATCATTAGTAGTTTCCCAATTTACAATTTCAAATATTCATGAACCTATATGTAAAAAAGTTTTACGTTGTACTTTTTTTTATGGGACTAAGGGGGTAAACGGGCAGGAGACTCACCTGATGGAAAGTGATCACCGCCGCCCATGGACATTTGCAACACCGCAGGGCTTGCAGATGCGTTGCCGGCCTTTAAGGAAACTTAAAAACCTTGTACTTAAAAATACAATGAAAATTGCTTTTTGTTTTTATTTCTTAATTATGTATTTGAGAAAACTAAGATGATATTCTATAGTGAGTTTGTATTATTTGTCAACTACAACCAGTGGTTTTAGTTTTTCCTTTTTTGTTAATTTTTTTTGAAAAATAATATAATTTTTTTTTAAATTTTATTAGCCATTTTCATTATCAAAAATATTTATTTTTAAATCTAAACTATTTTAAGTAACTATTGCTATGTAATGAAATAGTATAAATTGTTAATAGTATGAAATAATTAAAATCAACGATATGGATTCACCATCCCATCACTAATTTCCTGAGTGAAATCGACGATCGAACACCTGTTAAGAGGCTTAGTATTCATTTGCCCCGTCTGACTGTACGTCTGCACTTCATTTAATTCTTGCCATTTTGCTTTGATTGTAACTTCCGTTTGTTTGTTCTAAAATGACTTATAAAGTGATATATTTTTATAACTGTTTATTATAATTTATGTTCTCCGATTGGTCAAAATTTGACTCTATGAATAGAATTTATCTATCTATATAAAGACACTATTTTCATTTTTTTATTGATAACACTAAAAAAAATTGGTTAAAAATCAGAGATATAAAAATCATTTTAAAGTAATTATTTCACTTTAGGGTGTAGATGTTTCTTTAAATTTCTATTTGTACATATTTTTACAATTGGCGAAAACACACACAAAAAATATGCACTCGAATCGAACACTTATTGCCTTTCTTCTTTTTGAAGTCGGTTAATAAAGAAGAGAAAAATATCTCTATCTTATATATAGATTTTTTGATTATGATTGATTGATTGATTATGTATCAATTTTTAACGTCTCAACTTCAATACGAGGGGGATCAAGTCATCCACCACGCTGGCCAAGTGCGAGCGGACTTCACTACTATTGATTAATATTTAAGTAGAAGTATATATAGTCTGTGAAAATTATTGTTATTAACTAGAGTTTAGACCTATTAACCTCGACAAGTACTCGGTAATAGTTTATAGATTAAAGATCGAGCGAACTTATTTCTAATTAAATTAGAAGCGTATTAGTGATGTACTATACAATATTTATCAATATAAAATTATTATAAATTTGACAGTTTATATGTGTGTATATTTGTTGTCATTTCAAAACGGCTGGACCTATTTGGATTAACTATGATCTAGATTCTAGAGACTGGAGTAACATATAAGACTATGGCCAGGATGTTAGTAAAAAAAAATGCCAAAAGGTGGCGCCGCTTTTTTTTAATTTTAAATACAAATGTACCTAAGAAGTAAGTCGTTATGTAAGTTTAAAAGAAATTATAAAAATTAACTAATAATATTTATAATAATTATTCATAAACTTTACTTATCCATACTATATTACAATATTAAAAATATAAAAGTACTGCCTGTTACCTTTTCATGTTTAAGCCACTGTACAGATTTTGATAGAATTTGGCAGGGATATAAATTGCGTCCATGGATATATGCTGCTTTTGATCGTCGCCCCACTTAGCACGCGAACGAAGCCGCAGGTAAAATCTAGTAAATTATAAATAATTATAAATTTAGGCTCACAACACTGCAATTTTTTTCTATACAAAATAATTGAAACTGAATCAAGTATTATATTTTAAAATCTATATTCGATTTTAGTCTTGAAATTTTGAAAGTTTGAAAAATTTGTGAATCATAAAACCCATAATTAAAAATTATTTACTGCTATATATGATATTTAATTAGTCATGTATTTTCAGAGTGTGTTAATAGAACATACACACATACAAATATATATATGTACACTCGAACTCTCCTTCTGTGGAATTCGGTTAAAAATATGACGAATGACAAAGAAATTTTTTCTATAGTAGGGGAGTGATCGATTGAATGGTTTTATAAAAAGCTGACTTATTATTTGCATACTCTGTCTACATGTCTGGGATAAGCTCTGTTGCAATATTTTAATTTCAAACTTACTGCCATATTTATTTGGTATTAGTTCAAAATTTAAATGAATTTGATGATTTTCAAGAATAATTCGTATTAAATTTGTTTTTTTTTTAATTCGTTTTATTTGTTTCTTGCTACTTACAAAGTTATTACTTAGACAACTTTAGGACTCAAAACGTATGGTAAACATAATAAAATGTAACAACAAAAATAAACATAGCAGACCATTAGATGTAGTAGTAGTATTCAGCCCCTTTTTAACATCCCACTGCTGGGCACGAGCTTCCCTTCAGTACAAGGGAATCAGGCCATAGCCCACCACGCTGGCCAACTGCGAGTTGGCGGACTTCATATTATGTCTTTGGAAAACTTGCTAGGTTCTCTCAGACATGCAAGTTATCTCTCGTTGTTTTCCTTCACCGATAAGGCAAGAGGTAATCATGTTGGAAATGATTCCCATAAGAGGTGCGACACCCGGGATTTGAAGCCTCTTCACTCGGTTTCCCAAGTGAGCGCGTTACCACTGGGCTACCACTGCCTTTAGATGTAGTTAATTCATATTGTGTTATAAGATCGCAATAATAGTAAATCAGATTAATATTTTGTATCTATTAAGGTAACAATCTAAATTAATATCTTTTTTTTTAATTTCATATAAAACAATAATATTACTTAAATATAGTAAGGATAAATCCACTATTTTAATATTTGATAATTAATCTGTGACTAAGTACATCAAGCTGTCAAGAGTCTTTGTCAAGTTGACTTTCCTTTTTCTCGGGCTAGCGCGATATACGAATCGGTGCATCACTGGATAGTTTTTGTTAAAGAATTCACAAACCAGAAATTAATACAAGTGTTTAAAAGTTAATAATTAATAGTTAGATTTATGTAATAAAGTTTCTAGTACTGTTCTTTAGTGTTTATATCAGAAGTGGGATCGGCCACTTCACCTTTTGTTAATTTCTGGTTATTGTTATATATTTTTATTGAAAAAGCGTAAGTAATTGTGATAATGGGTAAAGGTAAGCGTATGCGTAGTCGTTCAAGAGAGCGTAGTACTTCGAAACGACGCCGAAGTTCTCGCAGTCGCTCTACTCGTAATTCGGAATTGTGCGAATCTTTACGATCTATTGTTACTCGTTTAAATGCATTAGAAGATAGGTCATCGGTGACGGCGTCAACTAATAATAATTGTAATGTTGAATTAAGCACTACGACTAGTGATTCTACTAAGGAGATTGTTGAGGCTATACATTCCTTAAAAACTAGTTGTTTCCGTGATTATTACGTGTCTAATTTCGATCCTAACGTGCATAACGTTGATTCTTGGTTCGATGAGGTAGACCGCGCGCAAAGTATTAATAAATGGAGTGATGTTGAATGTTTGTCACGTATAGGTAACTGCCTCAAGGGTGACGCTAAGTCATGGCTAAATGATTGGGTTACTGCGGATCGCTCGTGGAGTAACTTTAAGAAAGATTTTAAATCTTTATGTGTAAAAAATATTGATGTGGCTAGTATTTTGTACGACGTCATGAGTACTAATTCCGACGCTTACCCAACTTTTGCTGAATATGCTCGACGATCCTTACTGCGTTTGCGTATGGTAAAAGGGTTGAGTGATGAACTTATAAGCGCAATCGTTATCCGTGGAATTACCGATCCGCATGTAAAAGCGTCGGCTACAAATGAAAAACTTATGCCGTGTGATATAGTTAGTTACGTATCCACCTTCATTAAGCCAGCTGTAGTTAAAAATGATCATCACTTATCTCATAGTGCCCCAATTCATAGGCAGGTAGTAAAACCACGTGTTGTTAAGCGTACGGCTCCACCGGCAAGTTTCAAATGCTTTTCATGTGGTTTAGCGGGACATAAACAAGCCACGTGTCCGAAAAAACAAATACTGTCTTCTTGTACTACTACGACCAATAATGATATAAAGCCGAATTCTAAAATAACTTGTGCGTATTGTAAAAAGTTAGGTCATCATATCAACGTTTGTTTTGCTAAGCAGCGTTCCGATCAGAGGAAGAGTAATGTTAATTTTTGTTCCTCGCCTAATTTAAATGATTATAGGGATGTCATGGTTGGAGTGGTTCAAGGGATGCCTATTGATATTCTTATAGACAGCGGTGCTTTAGACGTGTCTCTTATTTCATCCTCCGTTATTAATCATTTATCATGTTCTATGAAACCAATATACCGTGAGTTAAAAGGTGTCGGTCATACTATCACTCGAGTATTTTCTTTTGTAACTCTCTTAATTGAATTTGAAGAAATCACACTTGAAGTTGATTTATTAGTTGTACCTAGTGAAAGTATGAATGCACCAATTATTATCGGTACAGACGTACTTAATCGTGAAGGCGTGATGTATGTGCGTACCAAATATTACCAGCGTTTAACTTGTAGTGCAGCAAAAGTGTCGGCTATAGAAGCGAATGAGCATCCTATCAAGACCTCATTGATCGGGAACGATTATGAAAAGCTTCAAATAATTTTGAAGAAATTCTCAAACTTCATGATTACTGGAGTTGCTACGTCAACTGTAACTACAGGTAGCATGCACATTCGCTTAAACAGTGATGCACCTGTATATTATAGACCTTACAAATTATCGATTAACGAAAAATTGAAAGTCCGCGAAATAATTCAAGATCTTCTATCGAAAGGAATTATTCGTGAATCGGAATCTGCGTACGCAAGTCCAATACTTTTGATAAAGAAAAAAGACGGGACGGATCGGATGTGTGTCGATTTTCGCGCTTTAAATAGGGTGACAATAAAAGATAGGTATCCTCTACCGTTAATCGAGGATCACATAGATCGTTTAGGTAAGGGTCGTTACTTTACAACTCTAGACATGGCCTCTGGGTTCCATCAGATTCGCTTAGATGATGCCTCAATTCCGTTAACCGGTTTCGTAACACCTGAGGGCCATTACGAATATTTGAAAATGCCTTTCGGACTTGCTAATGCGCCAGTGGTTTTTCAGCGTATTATTAGTAATACACTACGTTCTTTTATAAATGACGGGAAGGTCATGGTTTATATCGATGATGTTTTGTTAGTTAGTGAAACCATTGAGGAAGGATTACAGCTTTTGCAAGATGTTTTGCGTACGTTAACGGATGCTGGGTTTTTTCTAAATATGAAAAAATGTACATTTGTAAACACGGAAATTGAATATTTAGGTCGGCTTATTTCAAACGGTGAAGTGCGTCCCTGTAAATCTAAAATAACTGCGTTAGTTAATTCTCCTGTCCCTGAAAATATTCGCCAGATTAGACAGTTTTTGGGATTAGCCGGGTATTTTCGAAAATATATAAAAAACTATGCTCTTAAAACCTCGTGTATTGCTCGTTTGACAAAAAAAGACGTAGAATTTAAATGGGGCGAAGAACAAGAGCAAACACGGCAGGACCTTATCAAGTGTTTGACGAACGAACCAGTTCTTGCCATTTTTGACCCAGATCTTGTAACTGAAGTTCATACTGACGCTAGCAGTCTTGGGTATGGCGCAGTTTTGCTTCAAATTCGTAAGGATGGTAGTAAGTGTGTTGTTGCGTACTACAGTCAGGTTACACGTGGGGCAGAGGTTCGGTACCATTCTTACGAATTAGAAACTTTGGCAGTGGTCAAAGCGTTGCGGCATTTTCGTCATTATCTAATCGGCATTGAATTTAAGGTGATCACTGACTGTAACGCTCTTAAAGCCACACAAAATAAAAAAGATTTATTACCTCGTGTAGCAAGATGGTGGGTTTACCTACAGGACTTTTCGTTTACAATCGTGTACCGAAAAGGTGTTTTAATGCCTCACGCCGACTATCTGAGTCGCAATCCTATCCGTGTTATAAATCATATTGATAGACCGCGGAACTGGGCACAAATAGCGCAATCAGGCGATGAAGAAACGCAAAAACTAATTAGCCAGTTAGATGAGGGACAACTAGATGCAAATCGTTATCAAAAAAAAGAACGATATACTTTATTACAAATATACGCCTTTAAGGGGTCAACCACGTTTACTCTGCTACATTCCTAAAGGTTATCGTTTGAGTTTATTAAGAATTTTTCATGACGAAAATTGTCACATGGGAGTAGATAAAACGGTTGGACTAATTTTAAATCACTTTTGGTTTCCGGGCCTTTTTGCATTTGTAAAAAAATATATAAGTCATTGTTTAATTTGTATTGCCCATAAAAGAGCCCCGCGAGCCCCATTACAGCTTATTACATCTTGGCCTAAGCCAGATACTGTTTTTCACACGCTCCATCTAGATGTCTTAGGCCCTTTACCGGAATATCATGGTTATAAGCATGTTATGATAGTAGTAGATGCCTTCTCTAAATATTGTCTTCTGTACCCTTTGCGTAAACAAGACGTTGAAGAGCTTCAGCGTGTGATGAAAAATGTAATGTCCTTATTTGGTACCCCTCGACTTATTGTTACTGACAGGGGTCGAATGTTCGAATCGACTGTATTTGTAAATTGGATGAATGATTCTGGTTGTAACATCCACCATATAACACCCGAGATGCACCACGCGAATGGCCAAGTAGAGAGATACGTGCGTACGGTACTTAATATGCTGCGTATAGAGACGAACTATAAGAAAAATGATTGGTCTGAAGAGCTATGGCGTTTGCAGCTTGTGCTTAATATCACTAAGCAAAAGACGACTCAAACTTCTCCATTAAATCTTATGATTGGTAGTGAAGGTGCTACTCCTGTAATCCAAGCTTTGGTTCGCGACGTAACAGTTGATTGTTCAGCAACTAATCGCCAAACTTTGAGGGAATTAGCCAGGCAAAGGACGACCGAGCGTCTTAAAGACAATCAAAAGCAGCAGGATGAATACGTCAATAAGGGACGTAAGCCACCTCAAGTATTTCAAGTCAACGATTTGGTTTTTGTAATTAAGTACGCGCAATCCAAAGGAAAATTGGATCCTGGTATGCGTGGTCCTTATAAAGTGACAAGGGTCCTTGAGAATGGGCGCTATGAATTGCAGCTTTTGACTGGAGCCTATGGAAAGTTGACTTTTGCCGGGGCACAGTTTATGGTGCCGTGGAAGGGGGAATGGACTCTTGATGAATGTGCTGCTTTCTTTGTTAGTAAGTAACTTCCTCTTCCTTGAATACTAGACCTTGTGTGTAATGTCTAGTCTTGTGTGTATACTAGACCTTGATGTGTTATGTCTAGTCTTGTGTGTATACTAGACCTTGATGTGTTATGTCTAGTCTTGTGTGTATACTAGACCTTGTGTGTAATGTCTAGTCTTGTGTGTATACTAGACCTTGATGTGTTATGTCTAGACTTGTGTTTATACTAGACCTTTATGTGTTATGTCTAGTCTTGTGTGTATACTAGACCTTGATGTGTTATGTCTAGTCTTGTGTGTATACTAGACCTTGATGTGTTATGTCTAGTCTTGTGTGTATACTAGACCTTGATGTGTTATGTCTAGACTTGTGTTTATACTAGACCTTTATGTGTTATGTCTAGTCTTGTGTGTATACTAGAACTTGATGTGTTATGTCTAACTTTGTGAAAATACTAGATCCTGTGTTTGATATGTTTAGCCTTGTGCCTTTTGAATGTGCAATCTATCTTTGTGATGTTTATCATTTCACAGATTGCATTATGTAACATTGAAATTGACAATGACTTTTTGCTTGTAACTTTTTAGGTGCAGACCACTCAGATGAGTTAATGACCTCCTCATATGCAGATGATATGGATGTTGATATTGCTGGAACTCGAAACCGTTGCAATGAAGAAGATGCCCCTTTTCAGCCTGACGAGGGCGTCAGAATGTCAGGAGAGGTCGTATAAGGATAAATCCACTATTTTAATATTTGATAATTAATCTGTGACTAAGTACATCAAGCTGTCAAGAGTCTTTGTCAAGTTGACTTTACTTTTTCTCGGGCTAGCGCGATATACGAATCGGTGCATCACTGGATAGTTTTTGTTAAAGAATTCACAAACCAGAAATTAATACATGTGTTTAAAAGTAAATAATTAATTGTTAGATTTATGTAATAAAGTTTCTAGTATTGTTCTTTAGTGTTTATAATAATATTATTTTAAACTTTGTGGTTATGCATATTATAATAACAGCAACACTTAATAATATTATTAATTAATAAACTTTTTTTTAATAACAGCTAAAACTGAATAAATAATATTGCCATATTTAATTATATTTGATACTTATTAAAAAAATTAAAATGCTTAGTATTAAAATCCACAAATATTGTAAGGTACTTTGGTGCCATTTTTGAAATTTTGAAATAATTTTCTAAAATTGTGGGTAGGCCTTTGAGACGTCTTAAACGTTAGTCTCTCCCGTGACCATGATTGCTGTAAAGTATTCAAAACGTCGGAAACCAAAAATTAAAATAAACCCGCGAAATAATTCAAAAAAATAGTTTTATTTAAAATGTCAAATATTCGCGTAAATCTAAGAAAGTATTATGGTAATTCAGTAATAAGTTAATAAAAATTGAAATTCATTTGGAATAAAATATTTAAAGTCCAATCTCGTTATTACTACAATTCTGAGTTGCAATGCTATTCCTTGCAGGTGTCGATTTTCTGATTTGTATCAACAGTAGCTAGTGCAGAATACAGATATTGTGTACTATTTTTTGACTGCATTCAAAATGGAGAATATATGTATTATGTTATATCTTCGTTATTTTTATTGAATAGCTTTCAAACATATCAAGAGATGTCCACAAATTCAAAAACATCCACTTCTAAAAGTGAAACTTTGGACTTTTTATTTGGATTTTTGAAGTCGGTTTACCTTTTCTGTTATATATATATATATATATATATATATTATACGCTCTTATTATTTTTAAAATATACAAATTCTAATAAATAAAATTAGATAAATTAAATACAGTCAAATACGTACTTACCTCCAAGTGTCAATGGTAGCCGATGAAAACTCAAATCGGCAATTGAAACTAAACAGCACTGAATACAAAAATACAGATCTAACCGGCTTTTCGAATAAAAGTTTGTTGGGGAAATTCACAAACACTACAGTTGGTGCGACAAAGTTCCATGATTTCCATTTCAACGGCATTTCTAGTTGATGCAACATGAGTTGCAATGTTGTCGAATCAGCTCAGGCTACTTTCCAGCCCTAAGCTGACATCTGCTTTACGTACAAATCATGTCGGGGATAAAATCTGTGTTTTATATGCAATGCATTTACATTGCTGTATTAACTGTCTATGCTAATAACAAAAAGATCCAATATGACTTAACGCCAGCTGATACTATACACCAGATATATGGGGTTCGATTCTTGCAATAGCATTCTTTTGGTAGATTTCGAAGAAAGGAGGTTTAATTCATCTATCATTCATTTTTCGTTTTATTGCTTCTATATTATTTTTATTAGCCAATTTTAGACCTAATTTTATGATTGTTTTAATAAATAGGGTAGTCCTATACAAACTTTTCGGGAAAATCCGGCTCCAAGAATGAAATTAAAAAAAAAAGTAGCTGTTTTCTAATTTATTTAATTAATAACAATAAAGTTCGTCAATAGCCACTAAACAAAAAAAAAAAGAAAATCCCATCAGCGGAGAAAAATGTACTGAATTGTTTTGTATAACACTTAGGCATCTTATAATTTTATGTTAGAGCTTACTACCAACAAAGAAAAAACCTCTTTAGAATATTGTAATATGTGTTCTTATATAGAAGATAAATGAAGAACTGAGTATTAAGTTATATATTGTAGTCTTTGCTTAGTTTTTTAAGGAATGTACCTAGATATTGAGATTGTTCCTGGATACTAATGAAAATTAATCTACTCGTATATATATATCAATTGCTCTCGTTAAAACGCAAAAACGGCTGAACTGATTTGAATAATTCTTTGTTTTTGTTGAAGGTATGTCAGGGATGGTTTAAATATTAAAAAATTAGGAAAACGGTTGGAAAATCAAAAAGTTCAGAACTGGTTATTTTGTATGGGAATCACTATTGCGGATTACTTTCAATAGTGGTGGACCATCTACAACAATACGTTAAATTTAAGTTAGGAAAAAATAATATATGTATATAACAGTATATAGTCTATCTATTCTATACTAACCGTAAAAACGTACCTAAAAAAATATTCTAAAATGATTTTTAGGGCGCCATACCTCAAAAGGAAAGTTATAGATCACTTCGTTGCCTGTCTGTCCGTCTGTATGTCTGTCAAGACTCTTTTTCTCAGAAACGCGTGGAAGTATCGAATTGAAATTAATATCAGATACTCAAGTCTGCAATCTCTTAGAGCTGTAAAAATTCAAACTTCTAAGTCAACGCAATCAAAAGATACGGCCGGTTTATGTCACATATTTCGACACTCGCAAGGTAATTAAAACCTATTACTATAACCTTAGGACGCTTCCCGTTGACCATAGATAAAATCATGTTTGGCAAGAAGCAATATCTTATAGAACATGCCCAAAAACTGTGTTACTAGTTACTACACAGTTTTCGAATTTTTCGGATATGTATGTAAAGTTTTACAATAAATATATAAAATTCTTAGTAAAAAAAATGTAGGTTTCAAGAGCATTATTAGCAAAATGACAAATCCCTCTAAAGAATGAATCCCTATGAAATTAAGAATTAAACCATTTTCTTAGATGTATTTTTTCCTCTACGCAGGTAGAGTTCAGTTTTGTATAGCACTCAAATATCTCAGAATCCGAGCTCATAGGTTCTACTGAAATGCAAATATGTAATCTACAGGTGTTAAGCTAGAAATCCTCTCGCCTATCTCCTTTGCTATAAGCCGGTAATCCCGTGGCTAAATCTTCACAATTCTGAGACCTTTTCTTATTTTTACAGTCAGTGTTAATTGCATGAAATTATTTTAAACGGCTTAATACTTACATTGTATTTGCACACTATATGTATATAACATATTTATTCAAATATATAATTTACATAGATGGTTAGCCGGTTTTTGAAATGTATGTATGTTTGTTTGTTTGCTTAGATCAGTTAGAAATGGCTGAGTTTCGTCTTTATTTTAGCTTTAGTGAGCAACACAGAAATTTCGTTACTTTTGAATAATGTTTATCGAGCTATTTCTAATATTTTATTTATAGAAAAACTTACGCTTTGACAAAAAAAATATATATTTGTATTTACGCAATTACATAGCGGCCGTCGTAAATGTAAGCCTTGTGGCAATACTTTTCGTATTTTCCCCTAGTTTTTAAGAACGAAGCATTTCCTTTCAGAATGGGCGATAGGTATCGTCTTTTTTTCGAGAAATGTAACGTTTCTATGCGAAATAAGAATTTTTTTTGCATCTTTAAATTGGTTGTTGCTTGGATTTCAGTTTTTGTTTTTAAATAATTTAAAATATGAAGGATAATTTGTAGGTTTGATATTTACGCAAAAGAGACAAGCTAGTCTATCATTTTATATCCAAGTATTCTTTTAATTCTTATTGACTCGGTAACAGAAAAACCAAATTATGACATTATTTTATACTAGCGGCTCACCCTCGGCCTCGGCCTGAAAATAAAAACAAATTTTTCCCACAATATACCGTGCATTTTTCCTGGATTAAAAGTTACCTATGTAGTATTTCAGACCACAATCTATCTCTGTGCCAAATTTCATCCAGATCCGTTCAGCCGTTCTGGCATGATTGAGTAACAAACATCCATCCATCCAAACTTTTACATTTATATAGTAGTAACATTTTTGTTTAAATTTTATGTGCATATATTTTTAAAGGTATACAAATTACGGTTATATATTAAGTTCTTCTAAAATTCATAAGATTCTCTTAAAAAATAAGGTTTTAAGAGTAACCATCTATTTTCTTATTGGCAGTAAGTTAAAAATATAACTATTTTTCTAGTATAATGAGAATTTAATTAATATTAATCATAATTCTTTGATCTTTCACTTGCCATCATTATGGTTTTTCAATTTGGCTAGAAATCCACAGGTGTAATAATTGGTTATCTGTATCATAGGTATAGCTCTACAGGTGCTAAACTCAGAACTCACTTAACCGACTCCGTCCCGGCGCCTCGCCGTCTAAGGGACAAAGCCTGTTTGTTTTTAAAGTCAGGCCCAGTGACCGAGTGTGGCATCGACCGACGCATGCGTTAACACGCTCGCATAGGGATGAAACTCGAGCGATTGTACATCGATTTAGAATCGAGCTAAATCTGGCCTAGGGATGAGATATATGTTTTTTTTTAAATTTACATGAATATTTGATATTTTATATATTTTATAACTTTTTTTGGATGTTTTATCTAATTGGGTTGTTTGTTGAATTTGAATAGTTAAAAGGAAAGTGTTGGTTATTGTTGATATTATTTGCGAAGCTGGCCCTGTTTTTGAGAATAAGGTAATATTATTTTAAAATATTTTTAGACAGCCAAAATTTAATTGTATGTATATGTATACTAATACTTTAATAAGTGTTGATAATTTTACTTTATTACCAATGTATTAAATGTTCAGAATTATCTATGACACCCCGATGAATTATTAAAATAAAGAGTTTCAAAAAGTTAAGTTTTTAAAATCTTTGCTTTAAGGATAAAACAAATAAATCTAGGGTCCTAACTGACGTAACACTATAAGTTTAAATTTGTTATAAAAGAAAGCTTACTAAACAACAAATCCATTTAATTTAATAAAACGATTATCCACAATATGTCATAACGTCTCGATGCAATCAACTCGTATATAATCGACTAGGCGTTTCGAATGTAAAATCGATAAAGGCTGTCTGTCACGGGCGGGCGTCACTACTTGAGGCAGTCGCGTCC